AATGTCCTTAAAATAGGAAGATAAAAAAATAAAAAATATTTGTTTTATAAATTTATCAAAGCTTACAAATTATTWAAAAATTWAAATCATTGCATTCCACAATTAGAGCGTATTTTAAGTTATCGAAAGTAATTGAACGACGATTATCTGTTAATAAATATTTATAATTGGAAAAAAATTTCTCTCTACGTCTACTGAAGTGATTGGGGCAAATCTGAAATGTACCAAATCATCAGTTAAAATGACTAAAAATGTGGGGAAATGACTTAAAAAGTAATAAACACCAAAAAATGCAAATAAATGCAAAATAAAAATTAGTTATTCAGATTCACCTGGTTATGAAACAGATTTGTAGCCAGGAGAGCATCGTCTAAAAAGTTCCAAAAAAAAATGCAAAATGCATCAACTTCCGAGCCCTAGTAATCATAAATAAAATGCATAACATAAAAATAAAATAAACTTTATTACAACTTAATGTTATATGTAGTGAGACTCTAAGGAAAATTGAAGCCAAAACAGCTGCAGTTGTTAGTAGTTAATTTTCTTCTGCTATCAACAGTGGGTACAGACAATTTCCCTTTCAAGTTCAATAGTTGTGATGGTAGACCAGCTCATAAAAGTTTTAGCCGCTTTTATGGATCAAACTATATTACAGCTTCTGGTGGTTCAAGAGCTCCTGTAAGATATTTAATCAATAAAAATGATAATTAATAAAAGATTTGATATAATTATTTTTTTTAAATGTAGTTATATTTTATAATAATAAATGTTTTTAACTTTTTCAACCCTTTATACATCAAAACAAATTTATTATATAGCTTATGTAATATTGGTATAAGATTTATTAATAATAATATTATGAAATTGGTGCAAATCATAATTTATTATTGTTTAGTTYATATTTTAATACTATGTTACTTATTTGCTAATTTAGTTTGATATTATTTTTTCTTTATTGATGGAAAAAAATTAATTTACGAAAAAATTATAGGTACATAAAATGTGTTGTATAAAAAATTAAACTATAGCTGTAATAAATGATAATAAAATTGACTTTTCAGTCTTAGAAACATAATTAATTAAAAAAACTGTCTTGATTTATAGAATTAATTCAAAAATATAATTGTTACAAAAAATAAGGGCAGTTTATAGTGTTATTTAATACCTTTTTTTTTTTATGTATTAAATTGTATTTTTAAGGGTCTTTCAAGGACTTGTAATGGATTGTTAATTRCAATAATAAGACTTTTATTTTCCAATTGTTTAAACTGAATGTAAATTTTTTTTTCATAAGACTAAAGACTTAAATTAGATTTATATGCAGATTCAATGAAAGACACTGTAAACTCTAAATAATTGTATTCAGTTATTCACTTCATAAAATAATAGCAATAGCCAATAAACATTATACCTAATACAAATTTCTATATCACATTGTTATACATTTTTAGTCCGTCTACTCAATTTATTACACATAGTAATTTCTAATTTGAATATTTTAAGCATACTGCATATTATAATATAAAACATTTAACATTTATCTATCAATTTATATGGGCGCTGTGTGATCTAATTATAACTTAAAAACATATAGTAAATTAATAGTTGTTGTTTTCAGTTTCAACACACACCTYCCAATCAAGTAGCCGCCCATGGAAATGTAAAACATAAACATAACATATTAGACCGGAACTATCACTGGTTAGAAAACAKTTACCATTATACAGTCTCAGTAGTCTCACAACAATGTCGGTCTATGCTTTAACGTGTTTGCTCTTTATAATTGGTGAATGTTTAGCATATTATAACAGCCAATGGGTGCCAAGTTTTTACTTAGGTTCTTATCCTGAAAGGTTTCATACATTAAGAATGTCACGCGGATCATGTATTGTTTCTTTGAACACTTTTAAAAGCAAACATTATAATGTAGAAATACCTTTAGTCAATGGAACGACACCAGCAGGTTTTTGTGCAATACTGTTAAATAGCGTGGAGAACTCGAGTCTAGCCATATCAATAGAACAAGGATTGACGKATGTAAATAACAGTTTAATGAATCAAAGCATCAGGCTATTTGGAGTTAAAAATGGCAATTTGAAGCTTATCCAAGAGTAAGAYGTCATCCATAACAATAATAACTATGTTTATGTTTAATTTAATCATAATGTTTCAGTGTATGTGGATCAACTGATGTTCCTGGTTTAACATTAGCCGAATCAAATACTGCTATACTTCTAATAAAAGCAGACCAAAGTATTAATTTTTCATTAAGCGTGTACACTTATCAGTCTTCAAATATTAACATGTAAATAAACTGTTTATGATGAAAAATATCTTTACAAGCAAAATTATATTTTTTAATAATTGTCGTGCTATATGGATATAATATATTAAAACAATTAATAATATTTAATTTAAAAATTAAGATATAATAAATAATAATTTGTAGTAAAATAATTTTGTTTTCATTTGAATAAAAAACATTTACAATTGAAATCAAAAACGTATTATAATTGATTTTGTATTGTTATAAAATATTTTTTATAATGTAGTTGGTATTGCCTAATTTATGATTTTATTTAAAAATTCAAGAGTCAAAAAAAATCTACATTTATTTTTTGATTATTTAGGTTTTTTTTTTAACTGTTTAATGCCAAGTACACATAGTATATTATCAGTAGATATGCATAAAGCAATAGATATAATAATTTCACAAAATTGTTATGATAAACACAATTATAAATACATTCATCACTTCGTTCAGAATCTAATATATTAGATTAATATGCTTGAAATTTAGCATTGACAATTTAGTCTATTTTTTTGTTTTAATCTTTTGTACCACATGAAATTTTTTAGCTTTTTATGGGACCTTTGTTATAAAGTTATAATATCATCCAAATCAGTAGTTTTTATTTGATTATTTTATAAATATAAGAAATGTTGTATATTAAAATAGTAACAATGCAAACTACAAATTACTGTAATGAATTTAYTTTTGCAGTAATAATTTAATTTAACACAATTGTAACAAAATTACTTTTTAAAATTAATTACTATGGTGTAACATTTTTTTTTCGTGTTATTAAAATAAGTTATGAATGTAGAATGAATGTAATTTACAAATGTAGAACATTTATACTGYTATATAAATTACAAATAAATTCTCAACAGGACACCTCTAAAATGGGTTCTTAAGACTAAATATTTAAGATTCATATACTTTCCAACTATATCCTTTAGATCCCATATAAATTTTATTTCCTGCAAGACTCTAAGAATTCTAGGATTTATTCAATATCATACTACAGAATTCAACACAATGCCTTGTATAGTCCATTATTAGATCAATAGTTTGGATTCCATTTCTTCAGGTTGAGATAGAACTTTTCAAATGAATTCAAACTCCCTTTTTTAGTCACGCTGGATTTTTGCTAAAAATTGACCACCTTCAGCACAATTACTCACTTTTTATATGAGAATATTAAAACTCTATACAATAAGAACGAGACAGAAGCAAGTAGAACAACTATTTTTGTTTCTTCTACATTATGGAAGGTTGACACATCACACTCCTTGAGCACAGAATTTTATGTCTACAAAGTCTCCCAACCAGATTTCAAGAGCTATTCCTCCTTCTTATTTCAAGGTCTAACTGTTTAAAGAATGATCTAATACTCAGAGCCATGTGTTCATTAAATTATGATAATGTTGAACTATTTTTAAGTAAGTTATGGTTGTTTTAAAGTATACAAAAAAAAAAAAGTTTAAGAATGGTCATAACTATTACTTAAAAATAAAAATATCAGTAAAATCCTCCGAGACGCCCTCGATAATATTTTTATCTTTACATTTTATAAGAAGTAAATTCAATCTATAAAAAAAATAATTTTAGAAATTATATTATATATATTATATTCACGTGTACCATTAAGTCATTAACAATGAACCTACTAATTAGTAATTATTAGTCATTATACAATTGTATTTTTGATTAAAAGAACATAAACATATTGCTTAGAGGTGTATAAGAACTATAAGCAAATAAGATAAACATTTATAATGTGCAAAAAAGAAGAATGTCATATAAGAAGAAATACCATCTAGTGATAGAATCTATTTTAGAAGATATTTTCTCTTATTTAAGTTTAGCAGGTACCTACATTCTGCCATATTTTCTTTTTAGTATGCATGGAGMATTGGAGCCATAGATGATTTATAATATATGGGTTTCATAAAATGTGTGCTATTAACGGATTAGTAAAAGTCATTTAAAGTAAAATTGTTCATAATTTCTCTCGATGAGGACTGAGGAGTATGGAGTTTGTTACATATTATAATGTAGTATTTATCATATTATGGAAAGCAATAAACTAGACAATAATAGACTAGACTGTACAATACAAAGTTAGGATGGTTCTGGACAACCCCAAATTGTAAATATAAGATCCCAATTAGGGCATTGTAAATGTATTTTTTGAATCACTTAAATTTATTTCTACATGGTTGTATCTTGAATAATATTTATATTTGAATATTTGAATTAAAAATATTTTTTCAAACATTAATTATAATAATGATTTATATTATTTTATGAGCCTAAACAAAATGTTCACAGCACACTTTTATTATTTCTACAGCACAACTTCTTAAGAAACAATGTTTTAAAGACATTACACAGAGGAATGCAAATATATTGGTAAGATTTAACACCATAAAAATTAAATATATAGCTTTACATTTAAGTTTTTATGAATAATACAATTTCATAATATCAAAAAGGTTAAAATTTAAAAAAAAAAGTCCAGAGAAAGTGAAAACAGCAATTGAATAAAAAAATGCACCTATATAATCAAACATAATTACATTTACATGTTTATTTAATTAGATATGTTAATTTGCCCTCATATTTTCTAAAGATAGTACTACCCATATAAGTTATATATTTTTTTTTTGTGAGTTGCTGAATACTGATATAAATAATATATTGTTTAACTTTCACTATTCGGTTTCACACCTCGTATCACAGCTTAACATTTAATATCACTAATTTTAGTTTGAAATTGATACAAAAATGATATTCTTATTCAAAAAAATATATTTTATTAAAATCTTAATTATATTTTTTAACTTCTATAGCAATACTATGCAGTTAAATTTCAAATGGCCAGAAAGTCATATACAATTAACTCCTTGTCATTCAACATATACAATATATTCAGGGAATTATGTATTAGAMTATGATTCAAAAGTAACTGGGAATTATCATAGTAAGTATTATGTACATTATACAACTAAAAACATATTATAATTAACAGAAACAATAAACAGATTATCTATTTATTTTCTAGACGATTGCACTTTTTTAATAGAAGGTCCACCAGGAACACAAATGCAATTAAATGCAACTATTTCAATATTAAATAAAACAAATAATGATGAATGTATGGACTGGATAAAGTTGTATGACTTTTATAGTAACACAACATTAGTACCTTTAGGAGAGTAAGTGAAATTAGAGCAAATAGAAAATTCAATACTATTTATTAAATTAATGTTGATTATTTGTATTTTAATAGATACTGTGAATCAACAAATCTAACCAATGTCTTAACATTTTCAAACATAATGTATATTGTCATAAATATTTCACCAGATGATTTATTTCAATTAAGTATAAATACTTAAGTTTGGAAAGATTTTAAAAATAATAGAACAACTAAATAATACATAGGCCTGCACACCCTCTTTTTCAGGGTATACAAAAGGTTACCACTGGCATGCCCTGTAAGTTATTTTAAACATGTGCAATTCTAATAATATTTATATATCTACAATGTAGGTATATAAATATTATTAGATATAGGCCGCGGCCCATGGGTTGGGAACCGCTGATCTACACAATTCACAAATATTGAAATACCTTACTATTTAATTTAAAAAATATTGTAACAAATACCATGACATATTACAAAAAGTATGTATTTTGCCAATACTTGGTACCTAGTTGATAATTAATTATTGGTATTTTCAATTTAATAACATCTCGTAATAGGTATGTTTATATGTCGGACTGTAGTTAGCATAGCAATCACCTTAATATGGTTTTAAACACGATTCAAATGTTTTCACTGCTGTTAGTCTGATATCATTTCCCTCATTTTTAATCATTTGTTATCATTATAAATATTTTAATATAGGTACATACTAATTATTTTTCTTGCGCAAAAAAATGTATTTTCTACAATTGATTTTCACTCCACAAGAGTTACAGGATATGCAGCTAGTAGCTACATACCCTGCATACCCCTGTGCACACCTATGAAATAATATTATTTAATTACAATTTAAGTACCTTTTTAATTATTTTTTTTAATGTTACTTTACTAAATTATTGTAAAACAGATCCAAGAACATGTTATTATTAATTTTAACATAATAATTATGTAATACATGCAATGATTAAGTTTCATATAATTCTAATTATTTTAGTATTAATTTTTATGTTACAGTATTATACTATTATACTAACAGTTAATCCCTATATGGTAATACCATAGCACAAAAAAGATCATAACACCATAAACACCAAGTACATTATATTTCTTTTAGTATGATATGGGATTTTCCTATATCATTTTATCAGAGAAATACAATAAAATACAAATATATATGATAAAATACATTTTTATTAAAATATTCTAATACTTTGTTTGATCCTTATTCCTTAGTACTGGTAAAAGTAATAAACACCGGTTTATAAACAAGAATTCAGTATGTTAGAATTCTATTTGATTATATTAAAATATAAAATATAATAATTATAGTACAACCTATATAAATTAATTGTAATAATTTACAAATATGAGTAAGTATATGCAGTATCTTCTAGAAATTTTTTTTCTTAACTGTCAAATTGTTAATTATTTATTTTTAAACTATTTTCTATGATTTATAGAAAATAAACTGTTAAAGATTACATAAAATATTTTTGCTGAGCAATATTTCACACTTATTTAGGTCATACTCAACAGAATTAGCTAGGTTTTAGAATTTTTAATTTGGCTATACCCCATTATTATTTTTTATTTATGACATTTTAGCTAAAAATAGCTGAATAATAATCTACTATTATAATATTATTAAATTAGTAAATTATATTTTCATAGTTGTGATAACTTAAATATTTGATGTGAAAATTGTATGGAAGTGTTGTAACTAAGTTCTAATATTGTGGTAGTCACAATAACCCAAAATTACAAATATGTCTCATAGAACAATAAAAGTGAGTACTCACTTAAAAACTTAAAGATTTTTGCATAAGAGTAGCAGTCTTCATCAAACTTTCTCTTTCATTCTTAAAAAATAATAACATAGTTTCATCCACTGGTTCAGACCATCGTTTTACTTGTTTTTTCAGTGCTGACCGGAACTCTTCTTTTACTCCCTTGCCAGCTCCTCTGGTTGATATTCTTGGACTATGGATATAAATTAATATTTAATTAGCACTAATATATTTGGAATAGAAAATATACATCAATTTATCAGAAATAATTATTTACCTTAACGATGAAGCTACACATGGAAATACATTTAAGACACATTTATCATTTTCTATAAACATAGCCATAAAATTTTCAATAATATCTATGTTAGTAATATAAGTTGAAAATTGAGGATATGTAAACAAAGGTAATTTGCGTATGTGGTTATACATATCTTCGGCAATTGTTTTTCCTTCTGGCCAAACCATTTGTGACAATACTAAAAGATGACCAATCAGAATATCACTAGTTGATGGATAATTGGAAAGTTGATTCTAAATTTAAAAATAATTTATTTTTGTAATTTATATAGGTAGTACTAACTAAATCAAACTAAAATAATAGATAAACAATGTCAACAATATTGAAATAAAACCATTAAAATCTAAATTATACTCACATAAAGTATTTGAACCATTATCTTAACACAATACTGTAAAACGGGCAATTTTGCTATTTGAATATAATAAATTTCTCTTTCTTCAGGTGGATTAGCTATTTCTGTAGATATACTTCCATACAAGCTGAGACTTTCTATTTGATCTATTACCTCGAAAATGTGTTCAGTACATTTCTACAAGAATAATAGAATAAGTATTTTCTAGCTTTTTAAATATTTTATAATATTAACTCTTGATCAAATTACTAATTTTATACCTTGAATTCTTGTATACAATAGTATAAGGTCACTAATGATAATGATTTCCTAATACTATCATGAACTGGTACAGCTTTGAAAAGATTTTTGTACTTCCCTTGATAAAATTCAATATCATTAAGGAATTGCCCTATGAATGTATCAACTTTAATTTGAGCACTCAATTTCCAATAATCTGCAAATATTTTAAGTATTATAAAATATAGTGAAGAACAAAGTACAAATATTATCTCATTCTACCAGTGCACATTGGTTCTTTATTAGTAAGTAATTCCCAATAGTTGAAAGCCATTTTAAAATGATCAAGAACTTCAGATGAGTCATCAGTAATACCAATCAATGATTCATTTAATTTAGTGGCAATGGAAAGTACAGCTTGTTTTAAAGGAGGTTTATTAATTTGTACTTTTGGACCTTTGATTGCTTTAACCAACAAATATTCTGAACCATTTTCTAAAAACAAAAAAAAAATGTATTAAAATAATATTAATTATATTATATTGAATAGCATCATAATTATTTAATTAATCAAAAGTTAGTTAATACTAAAAGCAAGCAACATTATATCCTAAAAAAATATTTGAGCCTCATTAGTTTTCTTTTGATACCAAATACAAATATTATAAAATTACTAACCAATTTTTAATGATTTATTATAATCAAAAACGTGTCTCACAAATAATATCATCCCACAAAACACTAATTGTTTACTAAGTTCGCTGTTATTTGAAGCAATTACAAACTTTTTTGCAAAACTTGAGACTTTTTTCCAAGCTTTTCGTTTATCACTAAATAGTAATACATGGAAAATTAATAACTTAAATTATAAAAAGTTAAATAGGTAAATTATAAACATTGAAAAAATTACCTTTGACTTAGAACAGATCTTAATTCCCAAGAAAGTTTTTTACCGATACGTTCACATGAAGCAAATAAATCTTCCCACGGTGTTTTTATATAATTTTCAGTATCAGGCAAGTTCTACAAAAAATTTTGGTATAAAAAGTTATGTTAATAATATTGGATATTAAACCATGTTACCTGAATAATAGAATGTCCTCCCATAGCATATGTAATATAAAATTCAGTAGTTTTTGTTAACATTTTATAGAGATTTTTCTGATTTAATGTATTTGTTGACACTAATAAAGGACCAAGATCACACACTACAAAAATGAATATTATTATAATTAAATTTTACTATCATATATTGTATTTTTATTAAAAAATATAGTTTATATAATTTATACTAAAAATTATAATTAATAAATAAATATAAATTAAACATAATCCTCTTTTTATTACCTAAAATCTTTCTGTAACAGTTTATAACATTTGGGCATTGATTGTGCTTTTCTGCAGTTATCATTGTATCCATGAGCTTTAACTAAAACAGTTTTTAATAATAATATTAAACAATTTTTACAATTTTTAGTTATAGATCTAATTTAAATTTTTTTATTATTTAACATATAAACCAATTTTAGAATAGTGCAAATTTCTCGTCACAACTTAAGTTTCTATACTTGCAGCTAAAAAGCTAATTTGTTGTTTAATATTATTTAATCTGATTAATTTCAATATTTAATTAACAATTTAAAGTTAATTGTGGAAAAAAAATATATATGTAAAAAGGATGATAACAGGGTACTGTTTGTTTTCTCTCCCTATTCCACGTGTCATATAGAAAATGTACATTTGGCACACCAATGAGTGTTGCTAACACATAAATTAATCAAACCTAAAGTTAAAAATGTTATTTGTGTTAAATGTTTATACATTGGTTACTTATGATGTTTCAAGTATAAAAGGATGTGATCATTTTTAATTGAAATATTTAGCATAAGCTCTACTTGCATAAAAATGAAATTATTGAAAAAAACAACAAATCAACACACAAACATAGATAATATTTTTAACTTGCTTAATAGGTCATATTACTCTAATAAAAAAAAGCTAATAACACATGGTTGATTCAGAAAATTTGGTATGAAATACTGAAATATTATTAATTTTTCCTCATCTAAAGTTTCTATTTTAATCTCTTATTTGTATTTTTAAAATAATTATAACAATTAATTGCAGTTCTATTAAAAATATGGTTAAATAATACTAATAAAATTAAACTTCATGCTACTACTACTATTCTTACTGCTAATTCAGTTGATGATTGAGGGAAACGATTAAGTAGTAAAAGTACTAGACGACAATGTTCCATCGTGTCTTCACTTCTTTCAGCGCATACTGACAATAATTTTTGTTGAATAGCTATAACATAAAAAATATTTAAATAACATTTTACAAAGCATATTATGTTTCAAAAAATTGTAGTAAAAACTAAATGAATTCACTCTGCTATAAAAAGTTGTAGAGTGCACATCTTTATAGAGTAGATCACTGCAATGGATCTGTTAAATTTAAAATACAGAATAAAAACTATTCTCCAGACTCCAGAGAATTAATTAATAGGTAAATAGTTTACACTTTTAGCAGTTATTACACGGTTCTAGTTGAGGCTCATGAATTTTCAATTTATACAAAGGTAAAAGTAATTGGACCACAAGAGTGCAACATAAGGAATTAAAGAAATATAATTTGTATGCATATCTTAGATCATTATTTTGAAGATGTTTGATTGGTTGATGTTTGTGGATCTGCCCCACTTCTTCATAGACTGTTCCTGTTGACATAGTAAAATGCTCTGCTGTATCTGCAAGTGCAAACTATTCTTATTCTGAATAAAATATAGACCCAATTTAGTATCTGAAACTCCCCTAGAAGTTGAAGATCAACTTATTTTTTTCCTGTATAAAACTATCTCAATAGACAATAATTTCATTGTTTCATTCAGAATTTACAATATATGGCGAGTACTCGCAAATTAAATTAATCAACCATTGTAAAATTGATATTAGATACATTCAATATAATACTTAAGGAAGATTATTAGACAGAGCAAAGTAAATTAGAATTTTTTTTTATTTTTTTTATTTTTATAATAATTATACAATCTATACTTCTTAGCATAATGAGTATAAATGATCTTATACAGAAAAAAAAAGACACATGGTATTTGTGATTAAGAAGTCACCCACTAGAGACTCTTTGCGTGATGGGAAATTAGAATTTCATAATAAAAATTGTATTATTCAACATACTTAGAGGAAGTGCAGAAAACATTTCTCTGAAAAATGTTTGTTCTTCTGATAAACAAGATGTATCCATACATAAGATTGGTATAAAGTTTTCAATCTCTTTCCAAAGAATTGCCTCGTTTGGAAAATCTTCAAGCCTAAACCATAATCAATGATTAAGGAGCTCTTAATAAGAAAAAAAAATTCATCTTACAGACAACTGAAACATCTAGCTGCTCTTTGGACACATCGTAAATTTTTTTCTATTTCGTAACATTCAAACTGAAAAACACATAAAAATAAATATAAAATGCGTAACAGTATTGAATTAAGAAAAGATAACATACGTGTATTCCAAAATTATTCGGAAACATTGATTTAGCAGTAAGTAACCATGATCTACATCTATAGCAATCTGTCTCAAGAAAACTTTTAGCTTTTGTCATCATGTACTCTTCATCAGTGACCGACACTTCCATAGGCTCCATTTTAACTTAACTATAGGTACTTCTTTAGGCTATATTTCCAATCACGAATGGTAAATGGTAATGTTTGTTTGAACAATTTATACAATATACCATAATATGGTAAATTGTTGAGGAGCTTTTAAAATATATAATATAACTGTAACACGTCTGTAACTATTTACTATATTATTATTCAATTATTCATTAACTACACGATTTGAAATAGTATCTTAAACACTAAGTCACAATAGATAATAGATATCTATGCAAAACACCCGGCTGGCCGGCTACAACATAGATAATAAAGATTTTTATCTATTATAGATTATTATCTATGGGCCACAAGCGATAGTTTTATTATGTTTGATAACACTTATTCATAAATCATAAGCATGATTAAAGATATATATATATATAAATAAATATATATATCTTTAATCATGATCATAATTTATTGTATCACAATGTAATGTGGCCGATGACTATTATTTCTACTATTTCTATTTTCTAGTTTTCTACCATTAATATAGGAAATCAAAATATTAAACATATTATTATTTAAAAATTATTATCTATTAAGTTAAAATTTAAAGATCACACTTATCACCTCACGACTAGCGAATATTAAGTATGATTAAATAATACTTGTACGTCTACATCTTGACCTTTAGTAAGATCATTTCGTTGAATTGTAAATAAAATGTCTGAAGCTAAAAATGGAGATTCAAATCCTTGCTTGCAGGTAATGTCATATAATTTCAGTTTTAACTTATTGATATACATTATTATCATGGAAATCTGACAAACAGTTCGTGATACAAATAAAATTTATGATTTATAATACCATATTATAATACACAACTAGAATATTATCTTGTTTATCCACATTTAATAATACAAATCTAACGTGACCATACTCAGGGCTGTCTTTAACCTTTTTGAGGCCTTAGGCAGTGATATTATAATGGGGCCCATACGATGGACTAACGACCTGCGTCGACTGTATTATTATTATTATTATTAACACTATATTAGCAATTATTCTTTGATTTTTCTCGAAATAAGTTTATTTATTGGCAATAAATATTGAATATTGGTTGGCGATTTGGCAGGAGTTAGGGGCCCCAAAGTATCCAATAAGAAAGAGGTGCCTGACCATATTTTCCGCTTTAGGCAGGACAGTCCCACTTTCGAGCTAAATGTTCGTGTCTTGTCGACTTGTGGTAGGTATTTATAAATCACATATCACAATCAAACATTTATACAGTATATATTGTATACCTACATATTTTATAAATACTGTAAAAGTGTAAAACACTAAAACCCATGATCCATAGATTGTTGGGAKTATCTGAATTAAAAAAAGCCATTCTTATAACAATGAGTAACATAAAAAAATCATGTCAAGAGTTGAATTTATACATAAAAACAAACAGACCACTTTATAGCAGCAAAATTATATGGTTTTCTTATTAAAATGTACAAGTGTCCTGCTTTGAAGAAAAATAATTATGGTCACGTTATACAAATCAGTAATAAATTACTAAATTTATTCATTCTGTTGTCAATGTTTAAATTAGAACACTTTACATTTAACTGTATTTTGCTGTACAGGAACAGAAATTATCAATTAAATGCTTACAAGATAGTTTTGGAGATAAATCCCAATGTGAACCGCAAATAGAAAATTACAAAGACTGCAAAACGTTTTGGGTATGTTTTTATACACTCAAAATAAAATCAGTATTACAATAAAATTGCTTTTCTTTTGAACAAATACATTTGAAAAATATGGAAGCATTCTGTAACTAAATAAAAAAGTTGATATATGTATTTTTGTATTTTGTAAATTATATTTTACTTTCAGTACAATATTTATAAAGAACGGAAAACCAACAAAATAAGGCCATACATGCCATCATTAGAAGAACGGATAAAAATTAAGAAGGAATACATGAGTGGTCATTAAAACAAAAAAATATCTTAAAATTAATAATATTTTTACTATAATATATTATTGTTTGCTATAATATTATCTATATATATATTTTTTGTTCATAAATAAATGAACATATGTTATAACTTATAATTATATGTTTTTATTAAATACTTGAATAATGTTTGAATAAGTGTAGTATTGTTTTACTTCAATAAAAATATGTATGACAAAAAATGTTAATATTATTATTATAATTAAATAATATTTGCATGTATAAATAACAAAATACATAATGGAAAAAAAATCAACATAATAATATTGTAATGCTAATATAAAAAAAGTTTAATTTTAAAACAATCATATTTCAATATAATATTTATGTATTGTGAATAAATAATAAATAATAAATAGGTAGCTAACATTTTAATTATAATACTTCAGTATGTATATGATAATGAAAGCTTTATATGACTACCTACTTACAGTTTTACAACTCATACAAATACTTGGAATTAACTTACTTATTAATTATACATCATATATATCTATGAATGAAGGATAGAATCATATGCTTGGAAAACTCCTTGTGCGACTTCCATAGCTAGTAATTTTAAAGATAGCTAAACACAAAATAATTTTAAAATTATAACAAAACAAATAACAATAAGCTTTATATAGCAATATTTTAGATTTATAAACTACTTACAGTTATGTTTGGATTTCCTGGCTGAATTTTAAGCTCATTCAACACCCAATTGCCATTTGTCAACTTTAATGATTGATACAACATATCCTGGCCTTCAACATGTCTTTTAGCAATTGTAAACACGTTATTTTGTGACATCTTTAAGACAATAGCCTCTGAAAAATATTAATATCTATAAGTAACATCTACTAAAGGTAAAMAAAATAGAAGAAAATAAAACTTGTCAATTAAACTCCAAACATAAAGACACTATAATTTATGAAACTTAAAGTTACTAAAATATTAACTGAAAGTCGCCAGATATAACTTCATATACAAATTTCAAAATTTATTTTTTACCTGTGTTGCAAAGAACATTTTTTAAAGTGTATTGCACTTCATTCTCTGCAGGTATGTCTTTCCAAGTTTTCAAAAATACTCGCTTATCCATTTGACCATCTTCGATAAAGAATACATTCATTGGTATTATACAAGCAAAATATAAAACATCAATATTATTTTTTATTGCCACCTATAACATAAAAGTACAGTGAATMACACAAATAGTATTTCATAATTTATATTACGGTAAATTAATTTATACTTGAAGATTAGTTATGGGTTCCATTCGTTGAATAAGTCCAGTAGTTGCAAGAGGTAAGCTGGTTTCATAAGATGCCGTAGGCAATAATGGGTTTAATACTTGTAACGGACGAGCTGGTGTCAATCCAAAACTAAAAAGCAAAGTATTTATAACATTTTAATTTTTTTTTTTTATTATCATACAAATATACATAAATGTTAATTATATTTATATAAAAAATTTTTTTATTACAAAAAATATAATGCAAAATTTGTATTACATACAATGTAAAATGTTGAATTGTTGATAGCTGTTAATTGAATAGTTTACTTTATTTTAAAAGTTATTCTATACCAATCCCTTAAACTTTTTAACTTTAAATTAATTTTAAATCCTAAGTAAAATGAAAAATGTGTACTTAGTTGTACGGGGTTTTACAATAAAAACGCTCAATGTTTCATTGTAAAAAAAAACAAGTTGTGTGTGATATCCACTCAATTATTATTTTATTTTAATGAACATTATATGGCAATTATTTATGGAATATAACATTGTTTAAATGTCCGTCACGGCTTTGCTAAGTGGCATGTTTTCTATCACTTTATCGCATAAATTCGGTTGTTATGTTGACTTTGAGAGCAATTGTTTTTGGTTTATTTGCATAGCCATGTGATTCAAGATAGCCCCAAAGAAAAAAGTCTAAAGGTGTTAAATTGCACAATCTTGGAGGCATTGGCGCAAATAGGTGGGGGCTTGGAGGAGACTAAGTCCCCCCATATTTTTGCCAAGTCCCCCCAGTTCAAAAGTCACTAATTAGTACTGAGAATATATAATTTTTAGAAAATATTATGGGAGGGGCTTTAGTCCCCCCCAAAAATAATTTGTCTATTTGCGCCTATGCTTGGAGGCTAGTTTATGTTACCATTGCGTGATATCACCATGCCCTCAAATCGTTCACACAGAATATCTATCATTGCATGCGCTTGTGTGAGGATGTGGCAGACATTTAAGAGGACGCCAAACCCGCATGCGTTGTCTCTGTCGTACAAGTGCGTAGCATAGCAAATTTTGCGCTCAGCAGATCACGTTTATCTCCGTTATTTTAAAATKTAGAGTGAATTGACYTATTATAAAAATTAAAGGCAAGATTATTACCGAGTGCATCTCATAGGCTTTTTATTATATTTTAATTTTAA